ACAGTCCCGGTCGCTGGTGAACGCTGGAAGACGCTAGCAGACGCTAGATCGATACCCACAATTCCCTAGTCGCTGATGCTGTTCGACGCTCGGAACGCTAGTGGCCGCTAGTGAACGCTGCAACGCAGCCTGAAAGGAAGTTGACCCTGAATAGACGCACTGCCGTTGCCGCAGCACTGGATGTTGTGAAGGTAATCACTTTTTAACGCCTTGGGGGAATGTGAATGACTTTACAACAATTAATTGACGTTGTTACTCACTTGTCAGTACTTAATTTGGATTTTTTTATCAGTTGTAAGAAGAACTCACATGGCAGAGTATGGAGAATGCTGATTGAGGCAATGAAATACCCTCGGAGGGCAGGCCCATGAGAAATAATGAAGCAATACATAATGAACAGCCGGTGATCAGTATGTTATTACACTGAGGTTGTGATTGAACAATAATCCTGAAAATTTGTCAAATAATTATTTTCAGGTCAGGTCCAAGATCTGTAAGCGTGACTGCTGAGAACTTGACGGTGAACACTTTTATTACTGAACTGCTTAACTTAAGTGAAAGTAGATTTGGGCGATTGACCTAAGGTGAGATGGTATGAGGCTACGAGCCGATTTGGGCGCATCATTGTGAATTGCAAACTCATTTCCAGGACGGTCCACGGCATACGCGGGATTGAGTCCGCAACTGCAATCGCGGGCCACATTCCCCCCAAAAGTACACGGGAACGGGAACAGAGAATAATGATAGCCGGGTGCCGTTTCCGGAATCCGCTATTCTTAAAGGCAGTTGGCACGATAAATCCCCCAAGACGACTAGGATCAATACTCCTGGCAGGATAGAATTCCGCGACCCTGGGCAGGCGCTGCATAGCGGTTTCCCCGAGGAAGGTGCCCTTATAAGGGCCCTATCAAGCCACAACATTCCGACCCAAACGCCCGCCACGCCCGCCCGCCCACAAATGGACGACCGTTCCTGACGCTCGTATTCATTCATTTGCTGAGCAAATTATGAAGCGAAGGGATTGGTATGAAGCGGCCGTGATGCTGCATGCATATATGGGTACACATATGCAGCCGTATCTTCGGTAGCGGTGATTGGCAAGATGCCTACGGGAAACTCGTCCGAAATCGATTTACAAGTCACTGAGGCTTTTTCTTCGCAGGATTTTGACCGTTTCACTCCGTTCTTTCGCCATTTCCCCACTATACAGCGCCCTACTAGCATTTTAGGCTAGTAGGAAACCATCGTGCCAACTGCCTTTAAGGTGCAGTACTTGCGTTGATACCACAATCGGCGCTGTTTAGCGACGGGGGGGGGGTATTTTGTACTGCTTCCCTAGTTCCGGTTTACGAATCTCACCATGGTAAAACTTGTGAACGCCTGTGAAGCTGGAGTAAGATCGTCTAGCCACCATCCTAAAACGTGTCAACTCGAGAAAAGGCTACCTAGATGGGTCGGCACATCTATGAAAAGCCGAATGCCCCCGTCGACAAACTGCGCCCCAAAATCTTAGAGGAAGAGAACAGCGCCAAGTGAGAGGGCGCAAGAATAGAGCGTATGGCTATGGTTTGGTGTGGTTCGCCCAGTGGCTCCTCAGGAGGGCTGGAGACGGCGTGCGAGAGCGCTAGACCAGAGATAAATGATGGAAGGAATGGGCAACGAGCTGGAAGACAATAGAAAGGACAAAGGTCAGTCCTTCACAGAAGGGACGCAACGAGTGACACTTGTGTCTGTAAATTCCCGCGACCATAGTTCATAGGTAATACAGTTCAAAAATAGAATTGCCGTGTGTTTGTTGACTTATTGAAGAAGAAGGAAGCACGAAAAAGCGCCCGGAATAAGACCCTCTTTATTGCAATTGATCATGATCACCGGACGAGCGTAAGGTGGTCAAGAGCAATTGTGAATTGCGAAAGGCGGCGATACAAGATTATATGTTCAGGTTGTTAGGCGGTGTACAGTACCCCCAAAATTGCGCGTGAAGTTAAAAATGTCGCGTCGTGAACGCACACAATCGGGCGCACCGTAATCGGTTTAGTTACCCAAGTTTGAGGTGCGTTTAATAGCTTCAGTTATACGGCTTTTGCATAACCGGCTGATGTACGTTTTCATCTTCACCCGAATCCAAGCGTTCGCCTAAGCACCGTTGTTCTGATTCCCAACTTCTGCATTTCTGATACTTCTGCAAGTTAAACGGAACTTTGTGAGCGGTTAGTGGGACAGCCCCGGGGTGCGTGGCCACGCGGCAGCCACCTGGCCGCCCGACCGGCGTCACAGTGCACCGAGGCCACCAGCCCTAATCTGAGTGGTTACACACAGGTGCTGTGCAATCACGGAACAATCAATCCCACGCATATTTCCCGGGGTCTGTACACCTCCTAACAACCTGAACTTATAATCTTGTGGCGGCGATACACTGATAAGAGACGAGAGAGGCCAGAAAATGACGGGCGAGAGAGCGCAGTGGCAGTCTCACAACGACACGGTCATCGGAGCCCGGCATGGGCTGTCGGGCGCAAACGGGTCTAAAACCTGAGCGCCCTCCTGCATTTTGCTCGCTGTTTTTCAACTTTTGAAAGCAGCATAGCCTCTGATGTTGCCTGCCTGACCACCGTGCACGGTTATGAGAACCTAGCCTCAGTTTATCGCGGAACGTGCCTTCAAGACCGGTGGTATATTTCGTCTACAGGTGTCTGAGACATCTTCTTCGGGGCTCCTGGACCTCATGACGACCACATAGCCCTCGTCATCCATTATAGAGCCGCGAAAGCGGGACATCCTCTGAGACTGCGGACCGGATTTATCGGCCAAAATTTTTGGAAGTGTTTCAGATCAAATCGCTTCTTGCTAGCGTAATGTGTCTTACTCAACGATCTTAGTGAGATCGAAACCTTGACACATTATCCTAAAAAATGAACACTCATCAAGAAATTTGAATAAAAAATACAGCTTAATTTCCTACATTGTCCCCCCCCCTTGCTAATATAGCCTGCAAATTCTTTGCACTCCTTCCCAGAATAGGACAAATTCTTCATTTCGCAATTTAGTGGAAGAGACTCAAGATAAATGAGCTTTGGGCTCTCTTTTCTAAAAAGTTAAACGAATGACGCCAAAATAAATGTGTGCTGAAGAACCGAAGGATAGCTGCCCCCATAGAACGACTTTAGCCCATAACGTCATGTACAGCACAGTAATCAACCTTCGGCTCCATGAGCATTTGACAGCGATCTCCTGCTCTACCTGTTATTTTTCCACAAGCGTACCTAACAAGAACGGATGCTCCATTCATCTAATCGTTAACTGTGGCTTCAATGGCGTATTTCTAGATAATGTGAATGCAGAAGAGCCCCCCCCCTTTTTCGCTTCAAAGGCAGCGCCCACGTTCATTTGATATTACCGCTCCCCTCTGCGATACCATAAGCTCCTCTATGAGGACTGTCAGTTATGTACTATTGCCTGACCTTCAAAAAGGCGAGAGATAGCGCATTTGCTAGTGAAGCAGTCCGGCTGCCCTGGCCCACCTGCCAGCATCGGGTCCATATAGGCGTATTTTCCATGGCTTTCTTTGCTTTTTTTTCTTCAAGGCTAATACTAAGTAATTTTATGAGCTCCATACTCATTTATTTGAAAGCGGCCCAGCCTTGAAGACCTAAGCCGAACAGTTATGGCAGCCAGTTGGGCGGGGCGGTATTCCTCTTTACAAGTCGGGCTTGGCGCATCCCTCTCTATTTTTGAGCTTCGTATTTTGAGCTGCGAAATTAGTACATCCTCCACCCTTGTCGACAGAGCTGCGGCATCTAAGGAGGGCGTAGGAACATCAAATGAACGCGGGCGCTGCCTTTAAACAAGATAGATGGTTGCAAAACAGCAAGAGCTTTTGCACAGCACTTCCACCTTAGTAAGTTTTACTGAAACCAGGAAATTTTCCGCAGTTTCTAGAAGGTGCGCTTTCTTTCTTGGGGCAAGTGATGATGTCGAGTGACAAAGGATGATGCCTAAACCACATCGTGACGTCAGAGGGGATGGCGTTCATGGACTTCCACTCCGTCTCTCGTAGATGGAAAGGGCGTGGCCGCGTAATTCATATGAATATGGAGTAGAACGAGTTTTTCGTGGATCTCTCCATTTGCGACACCTATCAGGCCTCGAAGGCTTGTTCCGCGTTCATCTATATGGACCAAAGTACTGTGTGGGAGAAGGTAGTGATGGTTGCGGTGGACAAAATTGCGTCAGTTCTTCGCCGCAAAGTTGTTAACAAGGCACTTAAAGAGTGAAAATGTGAGGTTGCTCAAGCGGCTCCACCCGACCGCAAGTTACTCCACCCCTTGTTGATTTTGTGTCTTGTCGTTTTTGTAACCACTCGCTATAACAAATCTTCGCTTCGCGTTTACAGTCAACTGCAGAGAGCTCTATTTAGGGCGTTCTCGACGGCTTCATCTGCTTCTTCTGTGGGGTCAAGTCAACTAGCACGGGTGCTTTTGCTTTCAACTCCAGCATTGCGACCTACAATTGCGGAATTGTGTGTGAAGAGTCTGGGCGCGATTGTCAAGGCAAGGGACCAGCAGTGGTAGCACCTCATAATATGTTGCTTATTTAAAAAATAGTAAGCAGCGGAAAGTTGCATGAATAAAAAAAACACTTACCCGCGAAACGAATATTTATTGTTAAAAATGAAGGCCCCTAATGCCAGTGCCAATCCGATGAACGCAAAAACAGCAACGGTGTAATAAAGCTGAAAACAAAAGATTATCCAATCAACAACAACTCAAGGTTACTATTACAGTGTACTGATACTACCCTTCCTACTCCACTATTTAGCAAATTCTCCGAGGCGCTATTTTTGCCGCCGGCAAACAATAGCAATTTGCCTGCAGCAGCGATCGGCATTGATCGTTATGGATGTTTTTTCCTAGTCTCCCGATAAAAAATGAAAAATTGCGTCTGATTCAGCAGGGCGCGTCTTGAGGGCAAGCTTCGCAGTGTTTTTGGTCTAGGCACGTGAACCAGGAATGAGTTGGAATCATGTAGTGGGCCTCATAGAGGAAAATGTGAGAAAGTTCGGACCAGAAGCTAATGAAAGTTTTTCAAGATCCCACCCTGAATGTTGTTGTCTATTCATGAACATGGACACTATGACCCTGCACAACGAGAGGGCGTTTGCGGGGGCAGGGGTGGAGTCGAGCTATTGTAGTCTTTCTCCATCAATTGTTGCGGGCTTAAGATGCTCATGATGGTGGGGAAAAGGCCGCCTGGCTGCATTTCAAATCCCGCCCTTCAATCACCCTCGTTCACAGGATCATGACTGAAAGGTTGCACGCGACAGTGGAAGGTAATCGCGAGTCAAGTCAGTCGTGTTCAGTCAGGGTAGTCGTGTTCTACCTTCTTCAATGGTGAACATTTCAAGTTTGTTATTTAGCGCTGTTAAATGATAATGCGGCCGAATCTTTTACAAGATTGTTCTCCGATCCCAGCCTTCGTAGGCGAGTGGATCGACGCTTTTGAGGGTTTTTGTACAATATTTGAGACCCGCACAGAGCGCCTCCCAAGCGGTGCCACTTGCCACTACTAAACCACCGTCCACCAAGAAGAAATCAAAGGCGGTTATCAGTAGCATGTTTGGAGTTACCGACAGGGTCGCCTGGGACCAAGGTCAGGCGTGCGTGGAAGTTCCAGGGTCGTAGTGGTCGATGGGTGGGGAAGGGCCCATATGCACTACAGGAAAGAGGAGGGAAGACCTTAGCGGGGAAATTCCGCTAGTTCTGATAATCCACCGGGGAGATATACACCTGTTCGACGGATGTAGTACGGTGAGGGTCCAAATGACGAAAGACAAGATAAGGAGAGGGTCGTGTTGAGGGGTTCAACATGATTGCTACGAGAAATCCTTCCCAAGATCGTAAGAAATGGCAACTACATCTATTCCTGCGTACTGTAGGTGCTCTACAAAATGACTGCACTGGAGCTCGTCTCCCGCGTGGAGTGTCGGAACCCAGGCTCGTGAGACAGCCAAGGTGCAGATCATTTCTGAGTGAAATGAGCCCTCTTGTAGTACACTGTATCGGTGGCGTGCCAGGGGTTCAGAGTGCCTTTCCTTGACGCTTGCTAACGGAAGGCCGGTCCCTTTACTTATGCAGCCTGTCATTTAGGCAAATCTGACAGTTACTCCTGAAGAATGAGGGCAAAACGAAAAAAATAAAAAAGAGCAAATGAGCTGGATAGCTAGCCAATGCAGCGTAAGTCCGCGCCACATAACGCGACATGTCTCAATAATTTTAGCTTTTTTTGAGGGAGTTCCACACATAGATGTAGAGGGGGGGGGCGTTTTGAAAACTGTGGACCAACGTAACATTATTTTTTCCTTATTACATTACTGCCTACTAGTAAACCGCTATTAGGCTGAATAATGTCCATCTATCCTGAAAGTCCCACCTCACTGGCAACAGTAAGAATCGATTCGCGAATTATTGTCGAATCCGGCGGTGGACCCTTACTCGAGTACCATTGTTCCTTGTTATACCATTCCAGTTCTTGCGACGTCGTATCATAGAAACCCATTACAACATATTTACCATCTGAATATGAGTAAAGTACTGAATAATGTATTAAAAAGTCCCTAATGTTCTCAGGATCACTCACTTTGCATTTGTTCGATTTGAGTGCGAGCTATTCGATCACCAGAATCGGAAAACATCACACGCCCCTAGAAGAGAAATAATTGACAGTGGTAGGCCGTTTTTGAGAAAAAAAAGGAAATGGGCGCAGTTCGGCTTGGTGGGGAAATTTCGCTGGTTCCCATCGGTCAGTGCCGATGGACATGTTAAATCCTGTAAAGCTTTGTACTAGCAAGAGCTTCGTTTACACCTAACAAGAGTCTACAGGTTTCATCAGGGTGTGACTTGTAATTTACCAGGAACTAGCAGAAAGCTTGTTGAAGTGTATTATGCCCCTCCCAAGCCGAACAGT